TCAGCATTTTGTTTGATTGGTTTAGCTATTATCCTTTTCCTTTTTATCATCGAGTTTAAACCATTTATATTAATTGATATAAATGGCAAGGTGGCAAGGCAAGGACGAACAGAGGTGCAGAAGCCCGTTTCAGTTAATCTCTTTTTGCGGTTGGCATGATCCTTTGAGGGTGCACGAGTCCCGGAGAGATTCGTGCCAGCGTGGGGGAGACTTGGGTTGCAGTGTGGGGAAGGCAACCCCCCTGCAGCAAAGAGGAGCCCTCCAGAGCCCAACGAGCAAGAAACAGCCTCATATCAATGGCGGCTCCAAAGTCCGGACTGCCACCGATGTAAAGAAGTGAGTGAGTGACAGTTTGTGAGATCATCAGGGAAGAGTGTGGCAGAGAAAATTAGTGGCGGAGAGGAGGATTGGAATGACATAGACTTTTATAAGGCTGTTACAAGTGTCTGAACCCAGATGAACACTATACAGAAGCCTGATGATGGCAGATGAGATTCTGCCGAAACGTTGCTACAACTTTAAAAGCACAACTACAATGACGTGGGAAAATATCCAAACAAAGCTGAATGCCATATATATATATATATATACATTATTACATGAAGTTATGTATAGAGGCTGAGCATAGACCTTACAAAATTATATATGTGATTTAGAATTTGGATTTAAAATAATACAGTGATAATATTTTTATATATAAGTACTTATACTCCAGTAACCAGTTAAGAGCACAGCTATCCAGCAGATAGATAGATTAAGTAATTATATACTGGTCAATCCTAATACAGAGATTCTATCACTGAATGTTAATTTGGGATAATATAATTAATATAGTACAACAACAGAAACAAATCTTTAAAAAAATGACTTCCACAACTACTACAGCTCTGAAAACTGGAAGAAAGGTCACCTCGACGTTAACAACTACGTCGGCAACAGCTTCACCCATGGCACAAAAAACCATAGAAGAAACATTACCAGTGGAGAAACAAGCTAACATCTTGAATGCCAACATCCTATTAATTTTGCTGACTTTACAGGAATCGATGATGAAGCTGCAAGAAACAATGATGAAAAACCATAACGAGACGAGAGCAGATATCAATGAACTAAAAGAGGAGATGGGGAAATTAAAAGCAGAAATGAAAGCGGATATCTCCAAAGTAGAAGACAAAGTTGGATTATTACAGCAGGCCTTGGAGAAAAATGAAGCAACAATAAAAGAGGTAGAGAAAAGGACTGAACAAACCGAAAGGAAATTAGAAAGGGTAGATAAAGAATTAAAGAATGTGAGTAAAGAAATGGAGGACTCACTGGTCTACTTCGAGATGGACAAGGCTGCTACATACTTGAGATTCCAAAATGTAGTGGAATCCAAAGAAGAAGACCTGGAACAATTAATGGCGGGAATACTGGCTGGACTATTGGAAAAGGATAAAGATGACATCTTAAGGGAGTTTGATGAAGTTTACAGGATTAGCACTAATTATGTGAGATGCCACAAATGCCCAAGAGAAGTCCATATATGATTTGTGAGAAGGAGTGTCTGGGATATCATATATAGGATGTCAAGAGATGAAACAATCACGTATAAAGGTAAAGAAGTCTTGATTCTCAAACAAATACCAAGAAGAGTAAGGGAACAAAGATGAGACTACAAGTTCTTAGCAGCTTACCTAAATCAAAAAAGAATCGTATTTAAATGGCTAATCCCAGAGGGGATGTTAGTTTTTTGGAATGAAAGGAAAATTAAAATAGACTCCATGGAAAAGGCCCAGGAATTTTATGAGTGATTGGTAGGTCCAGAAGACCAGAGCAGTAAGGAGGAACTGGAAACAAACTCCCAGGAAGATCATAAGAACATAGATGGAACTTTAGGAAATCAAGGAAATACTCATCTACATCAGGAGAGAGAAGAAAGTAGGACAGATCTTCAGGCACAAGGAGAGACCGGAGCCATTACAAGACAAAGAGCGAAACAGAATTAATTAAATGGAAGAAGGGGAGAATTTTCTTCTGACATGTTCAGAACTATAATTCACTAAGTGATCTTTTAAAATATGATAGAATCTTTAGGTCAAGAGCCAAAATAAAGCAGCAGGGTCTATGTGAAATAGAGAAAAAGAGAAGAGATTTCCCACCCATCCTAGCTGGGACACCCAGCTAATTAAAGGTAGGATTTACATCCAAGACTAATCTGAACAAACACTTGCTTTATGTTATATGGTTTCTTCATTGAAATATTGCATTGTTTGTGAAGATTCATTTTAATTGATAATTGGCTATACAGTGTATAACATTCACCATGGATAGAAGTAAGAGGCTCAGAAATGCCAGAGATTATGGTTTTTCCGCCTTCCTCTTAATAAATTACAGGTCACAAACAACTTCTGATATGACCTGAATTTCTGTCCTAACTGTACTTCCACGAGAAGTAAAAGGAAGGCAAAGAAAGAATTGGAAAATGCTAGATCCAGATGTCTACTCAAGGCTTCAAATACTGTACATCAAGACCTATTTGTTTAAGACAACACAAATTAGGCCTATAGCAATTAAGATTTGACAGAGACCTTGAGCGATTGTTTTAGATGTTTGGTGTGTTTTTTTATTTATGCATCACCATTTTATAAATTGCTAAACAAAATACAGTCTTAAAAAAAACAAATGCTTAAAAGGAGTAAACAATAAATTAAAATACTTTGTATATTTTTTCTGGAATGGGAGCCATTATTCCCATGATGAAAGAACTGATCACAATTCACTTAGTATTGCTAGCATTTGAAAGTATTCAGAATTCAGTTTGGCATTGTCCTATTAAGGATTATATATAGATCTCACCAGCTCATCTCTGCCATGAAGCATGGTCCTTTCAACCTGAATGAGCTGATGCTTGATGTGGCATGCATTGCTATATTTCAAATACAAGCAGTGACAGTTTTCTTAAATTAATCCATCTTACAGTTCCTTAAATATAGAAAGCTGGATGTATTCATAATTCTGAATATCCTAAACAATGAAAAAGTCTATATATGCACAGTGAAGGGCTCTTAACTATTGTAGCAAGAATATAGTAGCTTTGACTGCTGTGCAAATTTATCTTACAATAAATATTTGCCCTGTACTTTTATTTATCTGTGTTTGTGTGTGAGTGAGTGTCTTTGTGTCAGTGCTGAATTGTGGCAATTGACTAGTTCCTGCAGTTTTCTAAGCAAGATTTTTGGAGGTGTTTGCTCTTGCCGAATTCCTAGGGCTAAGAAAAAATGACAGGGTGGAAGTCACCCAGCTGGCTTTCATCCTAAGGCAGAATTAGAACTCATAGTCTTCTGGGCTATAGGCCAGCACCTTCACCAATTCACCAAACTGGCTCTCTTTTTCTCTCTAGTTACATGGAAATTCTGTGAACAATTTTAAAGATAAAGATACCTGCCTCGAAATTAAAATAAGAGTATTTGTTCCCCATTGACCCTGGCAGTAGATTCTACCTCATTTCTAGAAAGGGGAAATATTCTTTGCCCATGGTGATTTATAAAGGTGCCATGTATAATTAAATGAGAAAGACCTGAAAATCAAATGGAAAGTGTATTCCTATCGAAAATAGGAACACCTAAAGGCCGAATACACATTCTATCTCTATAGATAGATATCAATTATTTCAATCTAAAGACAGACTGACAGAAAATTAATCCTTTGGCCATAGCTGCAGTTTTGATCTGCTGATCATGTCAGTCCATTCATTTAAATTTGCCTAAATACATGTTATTTGCTTCAAAAGTAAGATAGTTTCATGATATTTGTTATTTAATTGAAATAAATGGCAATATTGGAAACATCTTGGTAATTACCTTAACTTCAGAAAGCTAGAGATTATGGAAAATGTATGATGTCACAGTTTAAAAAACCCTGGAAAATATCTGACATTTAATTATTGTTGAGAATATTTAATAAAAGTAAAATCTCATTATGGCCAAAGGATCAGCCTGCCTCTCTCTCTCTCTCTCTCTGAGAGAGAAAGAAAGAAAGAGAAAGAAAGAACACAATTCCACAGTTGTACAGTAGTCCTAAATGTAATTTATTTGGAGTGCTTTGTACAGGTAGCCCTCAACTTACGAACACAATTGAGTCCCAAATTTCTGTTGCTAAGTGAGACAGTTCTTCAGTGAGTTTTGCTCCATTGTACCTTTCTTGCCACAGTTGTTAAGGGAATGACTGCATTAGTCATTCTTACTAATTAGTCAAATTAGTAACACAGTTGTTAAGTCAATGGCTCCCCCATTGACTTGGCTTATAGAAGATCACAAAAGGTGATCACATGACCCCCGGGACACAGTAACTATCACAAATAGGAGTCAATTGCCAAAGGTCTCAATTTTGATCATGTGACTATGGGAACGCTGCAATAGTTGTAAGGATGAAAAGGGATCATAAATCACTTCTTTCAGTGCTGTTGTAACTTTGAATGGTCACTAAATAAACTGTTGTAAGTCAAAGACTGCCAGTACTTTATTTATTGAGTAAACACACCTATGATCACACTGCGAAAGCTTAAATCACACTTCATACAAGGAGACTTTATATCAATAAGCATGCATGTGATCAGAAAGTTTACTTCCTTGGCAAATTATACTCTTTTTGTTCCAATTTTGGACACTTACTTTCTAGAGTTGTTTTAATCTCCTCCCTGCCCTCTTCCTTAATGTTCCGATTGGACTTTTTTCAAAACCAGTTCAGCAATGCTCCAATTTTTAAAAACCATTTTTTCTTCATTTTTAAACTGAGATCAATAAAATATCTGCCTCTTGGTTGAGATTTGGTTCCAATCATTTTACCCTCTCAGATTCCCCCACTTTTCTTTTAACACAGAGACGGGGCAATTGCTTAGGATGTTTTAAAGGTTGCAGGTAAATCAATCAAGAGATACCTGTACTTGTACAACATAGGCACCATTTACAGTTCTGTCATTCAGCAATACTAATCCTATTATTAAGAAGATAAATAATTACCCATTGCGAAGAAAGGGATCCCCAACAGAGTTGAATTATATTTTCCATCAGTAATGAAAAATATTCCTGCAGCAGTAACACTGGAGATGCAGATTGTGAGTACTCCCAAGAGCCCAAGAAATGGCTTGCTGCGAAGGCAATCTTTCATGGAGCTGGAGAGGATGGCCACCAACAGAACAAGCATGAGGCTCACTAAGATCTTGCCCTTGGCTAGGAAGCTGGTCTTATGAAAGTCCCTCCACAAACTAAAGGAAGCAAGAGAATACAGCTGTAGATCCTTATGATGGAGCTGCAGCTTGTGTATCAGTTTGCAGAATTCATTCTCCCACTTCTCACCAATGAAGTCCTGGGCTGCAGAATGGTAAGTCTGGAGGTAGTAAGTGATTTGGACAGCTCTGGCTGACTTGACCCTTTGGTCCTTGCTGTTTGGCAGCTCCATGACTCCACCAAGCTGATGGCCAATAAAGCTGCTTCTCCCATCCTGAGGAGAAAAACCAAAGGACATATATGTTAGGATAAAGCTTTTTTCTTTAAAAATAACAAATAACAGCACTTCTAAATTTCTCCTACAAAGAGCTTTCTAGAAGACAAACCTAGTTATCCTATTTTTCTGCAATGATCGAAATTATAAACAATTTGAATTAAGTTTTGAAGACAATAAAGGAGAAGGCCTTTGAGGGTGAAGGTTTCAAACCTCAGGGAGAAATAGCAAGGATGGCAAGGCACCCCAATTCAATCAGCAATGTGTTGTGTATATTAATTTAACCACTGCACATTCTTGCAAACTAGCAGGGAGAACCAACAAAGCTATAACATTCACAGATTTTGCTTTATAAAAATACTGTATCAATGAGAAGGAGAGAAATAGACCAGCCTGACAAACAAATGAACAGCAGAAATGAAAGCGTTCTAATTTGTTTTTACTTCCCTTTATATTTTGGGTTATTTCACATCCAAACAGTGAATGAGAATGCATTTGTTTTGCTTTTTCAATAGCATTAAAAATTAATGTTAATTCCATAAGAATAAACAAATTTAAAGAAAAGTGCAAACAAAATTGGAATCAATGATGAACCTTTGTGCATGAGGGCAACATTCACAATAGTTATTTCTCTAACAAAAATTATGGACACAGCCCACGACCAATTACTATTAATCAATCAATAACCACTTGAAATCCTAACAGAAAGAATTATCCCCAAACTACATATTTCTCACCTCATCAGGGAGATTGGTGGCATATAAATTTAATAAATAAATTGATCTGGAATAATTACCACCAGCTGTTCTATGGCCAAGTTCATTAGGTTATTATTGATTATGTCTTGACCTGAATACAGTGAAATAATTCTTTTTAACCCTAATAATCCCATGATTTACATATGAATCTTGAAGCAAAGTTTCAGTTCTGCGTACAGTTATTTGGAAGGAAGCCATATGGAATTCAATGGGACATAATACTTATATAGAATAGATACTGGTTTCATTCCCAGTGCATAGGCTTCTCTATTAAAATGAAATTGCCACACTAAATCTCCTTGTGTAATTGTACTTGGTCAAAGTTAAATAAGACATTCAAATCTTGTTAAATCAGAGCTCCAAACAAATCTTATTTTCAGATTTGAAAAGCAATTGTAATGTGGAATTTCACTGACAAACAGTTACAAAACACTACACTTCTTGCTGTTGGCAAAACCACTGATTTTAAATCAGAATAGTTAAATTTCCTAATTTAAGGAATTCATAACTTTTTTAAACCAAATTAACTAAACCGTTTTTCTAATAAACAACTCACAGAGAAGTCATGCACAGTGTTGACTTTTGGATTTTTTAAGAATACAAAACAATGCAACAACCTTATTTGAGAAGTACTTTGCTGAGTTAAATTATGCTTTATCTGTTCCACCATGCTGTTTATAACAAAAAGCAAATACCATTAGCATATGTGACTATACAAGACATGAAACTATGTCATTTGACTCTCCTGCCATATGTATTTGGCTAGGCAAGCTGTCAGTCCTTCAAGGCAGGTAACAGAAAAGTTGGAAGGAAGAGGCAAAAAACTCCTCACAAAACTGTCATGCATTTAGTTGTCCACACAGAGACATCCATGAAGACACTGCCAAATACAGTATTGCAATTATTAGCCATTGATCTCATTTGCTTTCTAAAACACATAAACTTGGCCTCATCCCTAAGTAGAAATCCTGTGCCTGAAAAGTTGGTGAACAATTTCTTCCTGCACAATTACATGGTGTTTACAGGAAGGAACATATAAATTCATTTTTTGATTCACTTCTGGTTCCTGTGGATTGCTCAACATATCACTCATGCTTGTATTGGACATGATCCTTTCAACTATGAAGTTTTAGATAGGCAATAAGCACCATTCAGTTCACGATCTCTCATCCAATTTATCCCTTCCAGACACTAATGTAATCCTAATACTACAATAGTGAGAGGTACCTTCCATGCCTAGGAGATGCTGAGTGTCCAAGGAATGCAAAAAATATAGATTGTAATTCACATGTCTGTTAGTAAATCAGCCAACTTGCTTGGCTGTTTTTGTTTCACACAACTGCTGACTGGATATTTTCATAACAGCTAATACTCCACAGACTGTTAAACCGTAGTTTATAACAAAGAGCAATTGTATCATTTATAATCTCATGTCAGCGCTAAAATAATCCAGGAGTTATACTGCATTCAGTAATGAAACAAGAAGAAACAATTCATGTTACCACTGATAATACTGTATATACTCGAGTATAAGTCGACCCGAATATAAGCCGAGGCACCTAATTTTACCACAAAAAACTGGGAAAACTTATTGACTCGAGTATAAGCCGAGGGTGGGAAATGCAGCAGCTACTG